GGTTTTCAGAAGATGTGGACACAGAAGATTTGGATGTTCATAACATTCTTGAGGAAGCTGTCGATAAAATCAAAAAGGAAGCTGCTGACGCTGAGTCTGCACGTATCGTGTGAGAAATTTTCATAAGATTTTGGATATAGTCCATTCGTACTCCTTTTGAATTCGGCGGTTCATCTAAAGCATATCACGCAATTCGCACTCATTCGTACAAGTAAACCAAGCAAAGATTGGCTATAGCTCTCAGGGTTTTAAATATTTTGTAATCGTGACTTCTCTTCCTCATGCATATTTCGTGCAGTGGATATACGAAGGCAAAGTAAGCATCAGGATATTTGCGATCGTTCTTTCGCCGGATGCATCATTTCAAAGCCAATATTAGCTGCGAACAGTTGCTAATAGTCGAAAGCCATTTTCTTGTCAAGTCTTTTGTACTCGCTTCGAAAATCACAGCTACGTGAATCAATGAACATTTTCAATGTTATCAAGGGCTCCTAAGCAGATTACTATTCACGAATTCTGTTTGGTGTAATTGTGGCTGCTCGGCTTGCTGTGATGTCCCATTTTTTTCGTCGTATATCGAGCGCTCCTATTTAGTTTTAGCTATTCTCAGATGTCGCGGGTTTTCATCCAGACCTTTTGCCACTTATCTGTCATCGTATTTTGACTCATATAATATTTTTTACAATAGCTTGTTCTTATACCGGCATAGCTCAGCCATGAATCTTGTTTCTAGATGGAAATATGTGCCGGAACGAATCGAGCACGACCACTTTATGAATTTGCCTGAAGGATGGACGCGCATCACTCATAACAGTGGCATGCCTGTTTACCTAGTAAGTTGTTCAATACTTGATGCCGTTCTATAGCATTATTGTACAGCATCGGAAGTCTCGCGTCGTATCACTCTCTAAGCCCTACTTTATTGGCACTCAAGGAGTACGAGATCATCCGATACCCGTAACGGGAATTCCTTGTCTTCATCAGCGAAGAATTATGGAAAGAGTGAGAGAAGTTATTTCTTATGAGCCACTAGTTAGTTTTCCTCTAACAGGATGCAGCGCTTGCCGCTGAAGCTGAACGTCAGAAGAAGGATGAGAATGAGGCTCCAGAAGCCACCCTCGAGAACGAGATCAAGCAGAAGCTGATAGCTCCAGCTGTAAAAATCGAGGTCTGTGGTAAAGCACGAATGCTTAGGGAACGTAAGCTTAGAGGTTCAATCATATGTGCATGTCACTTTCTATCTTTCTGATTCCACAAGTCCTTTCATCTAAGTTATTATGCTCTCTAGCCGAAAATAGGCGTCGGGTCCATGTTGAATGAGAGAACTGGGCCTAAGATCTTGACTACTCTATCTTTCATCTCGCTATCGAATTTTGCAGCATGTCTGCTGACTTCAAACTGTAAATGGGTGAACTTTTGATGACCTTGAATTTTTTGTAAAAGAATGTTAGACCAGGCTGTTTGCGAGATATTCTAGCTTCCAATTCTCATGCTTATGGTAAGTTGTAGTCAAAGCAAACCACCGCTGCTGGAAATTTCGGTTTGAATCTGCTTCCTGCTTTTGCGGCATCTTCCTTCAATCTCTATTTATAGATTCTCAATGCTTTTCGTGCTTTCCGAAACTGGCGAAAGTGCTATAATGGACACTTTTTGCCTATCTCGGACAGGTTCGATGAGCAAAAGTTTTATCCCTCGTTGGTGGTGGTGTGTTAGTTAGTGTTTGATTGCCGTGTAAGTGTATCTCGTGGTGGTCACATTCTTACACTCCATCCATCATTTTTACTAATAAGTTCACATTGTCATAGCTCCTTTCTCAGCTTAACTTGAATCAATAAAATAGGATTGTTGAACCTGTCTGAATTTTACGTCCACGAGTTTGAGTGGGTCGCAGCTGCTGGTCTCTTTGCAGATGCTTTGCTCTCAAAGAAGAACTTGCACTGTTTGTAGGCTTATCACTTTGATCTTCTCGAAGTCGTCGAATTTCCAGTTTGCAACTTAGGATGAAACAAATTTCTCACATTTTTGTTCAAACACTCCTTAGCATGGGTACAAACTTCTCTGCAAAATTTTTAGCTGTGCATTTTTGATGAACTTGTGGACCTATTGCTGTTCTTGCAATGCGCAACATTATTTCACGACTACCTTTGCTCATCATTTTCCAATGATATCCCTATGATTTATCTGTACGGAATATGCCCGCGTGGCAT